TACTGTCCATCTGCGGTGGGTCACTCACATCATTACCTCCCCCCAGCCCTCTCAGTAATCACTAGATTACACAGTCCCTAGGCACATCTATTTTCTCATTAATCTGTAGATTAAAGTATCCCCAAATCGGCTTTGACGCAGAGCACTGCAAACAGTGGAGCTGCTCCTGCAGCCATCCTGTGTGGGGCACAGGGAGACCTTTCTGTGGGTCCCTCCCATCTGGGGGAGCACAGCTCAGGAGAGGAGGGGACCTCTAAACACAGCACATATGTATMAATAAAAAGCAGAAAGGATGGGATTGTGTTTCGTAACCAAAGTACTTATGTGATAAAACAACTTCAGGAAGGTTCACGGATTAATTAAATCTCAATCCAGATGATCTCCAAACAGCAACTTGCATCGTTTGCAACAACAAATAYCCGACAGCTCTCGCGCTAACCCAACGCTGGGAAATGTTTCATTTGGTGCTTTCCTGGGGACTACACACAGATTTTTTTAAAAAGCAATCACTATACCACAGAGAGCTCAAGGTAAACTTCCCTGGCATCAAGGCCCCTTCCTGCATCACGATGGCAGGGACACGGGCACGATGGGAATGACAGAGGGTTACAGAAGGAGTAACAAGATTAGACCAGGAAAAGGAAATCAAGGCTTAGTGATAGATTTCTCAACAGCAAAACCTAYTCAGTTTGGGAAACATGAGATTAAAGACTTGCAGGGGCATTAGCCAGAGCCAGGGAAAGGGTGCAGGGAGCAGCCATGAAGTGGCCCAGGGCTGTCATGAGCATCCTGCCCAGCAGGCAGGAATCCACTACAGCCCCAGCAGTGTCAGCCCCGTGTCCCTTGGCAGAGCCACTGGGAAACAGGGACATCCCTCAGGGGGTGCCAGGACAGCCTCCCACAGCGGCCCCACACCATGGCCAAGGGCCGTGGCTACTCCCAGGGCCTTCTCCAACAGCAGAACCAGCTGGCCATGCTGGAGGAGAGCACTGCTCCTCCTCCCAGTGCCATGCTGGAAGCCAGGGATGTGCCATGCCTGTGCCACCCACAGCCATTGCTGAGCCCGGGACATTTGCACTGTGCTAAGGGCCAAAGCACACTCTCCAAAATGCACACCCATCTCAGACACTCCTGCTGGTGCCTCCCTAGAGCCTCCCTGCGGGTGCAGGGCACCCATCACACCCTGGGAAGGGTTCATCACACCACTGGGAAGGGCKATATCTCCATCTCTCCACATCTTCATGCAAAAGGGTGACTCTGCCATGGCTGTTATGGGGCCRAGGCCTGTGGGGTCTCCACACCAAGCCCAAGACATCTGGCAGTATCAGGAGGGAGCAGGACAGAGCTGCAGAGGTGAATTCCATCCCAACACCAGGTGTCTGCGGGGAGAAGGGCTGCACTCGTGACTGAGCTCACAGATGAGGGACACAGGCAGTGCCAGCCTGGCCCTGGCCCACCCAGCCCTGCTGCCAGAGCCCCCTGGCCCAGGAGGGACCCTCAGCATCCCTCCATCATCAGAGGATATCTCCAACAGGGCAGATGTGCACAGACACAGCAAACCTCCATTTGCACAGTCCCACTGGGGTGAGAGCTCCYGTCCCCCCTGAACCTGCTGAGCACACAGCCTGCACAGGGCTCAGGCCAGGGCTTGTGGAAAGGCTCATTAATGTCATTCCTCTCTTGTTTGGAGGTATTTACCCAACTGTGAGACACTACAGCAACTCAGAGACGTGCCAGGTGAACAGCCCTGCTGCACAAAACAGGTACAGCCACAGCCTGAAGCCCAAAGAGACAGGCATTTTGGGTCTRGCTGCTGAAATGGGCCAGCCTGGGATAAGGGGGCATGAAGGACTCTAAAGGCCAAATCTCCAGCAAGYACATCTAAAAGTGGAAGCTACTCCAATGGCTGTTTGTATTCAAATGTCTTAATTTGTCCTACTTTTGGCTGGGCACTCAGCAGAATTGCCAATGAAGATAGATTTACACAAAACAAGAACAAATCAAGCATATTTTCTGGACATTTTTCACACGAGATCTGCCCTTCTGCAGCAGTGCTCTGAGATCTGAGCTGAGATCTGAGCTGGCATTGCCCTGGACCTGCTCGCCCTGCTCCCTGTGCCTGGTGAGCCTTGTGACATGGCTGGAACGTGCCTGCACCTCAGCACCTCCCTGGCAACCCAAAGAGCCCTGTTCTTCTCAGCAATACACCGAGCTGCACAAGAACAAGGCATTCAAATGTGCATTTGTGAAACACCATCCTCACCCCACATTTGCATGAAAATACCAGACCTATTTAAGTGACAACAACACTTCACTAAAGCAAATTACATAACCCAGCTTATTACTTCAGCTGACACACCAGAGACACCTTCATTTCCAAAGCAAGTCTGCACCTGCTGCACAGCATTTGGAAGGACTTTCCTCTATTTTTAACCAGATAACATACTGTTTTAGGCATATGCTGCTTCCACATGTAGAAAAAAATAAGACTGAGTATCTAAATTTTTTACYTTAGCAGGAGCTACCATTTCAATCKGCACTCAGCCTCCCTCTRGCAGAACCACTGCATRGAGTCAGGAGTSCTAYACAGCACAAAGTGAAGAAAAGCTCCCAACTGACCCACAGCCATTAAATCCCCTCCTGTACTTCCCCTGCCACTGCAGCAGGGCTCACACGGGCTGATTCAGTCATCTACTGCACAAATGCCTCTGCCTGTTTCATTTCTATGGAAAAGATTGCAATGGTTCACTAGYATGATGCACAAGGTTCTTCTGAAAATGCCAGCATACAACCACAGATTACAGACAGAAACCCCCCCCCAAAAAAATCCCAAACCTTCCCAGTGTCATGGGCAGAAATCACTGCAGGCTCATCTCAACCCTCCATCCTTCCCAACAAGGAAACCTGAGTTCTCAGCAGGTCACAAGGCAGCTATAGCCCCATTTCTCATTTGCTGGCTGTAACAGCTGCCTYTTAGAAAGCAGCAACAGCAAATTAATCCTTCCACAGAGCAAGCACATGGTGATGTGAGCCAGACAACTTGGAGGAATGGGAGCTCAGCCCCATCCTGGCCACAGCACCCTCCTGGAAGCACTGCCTCACACCACCCCTCTCAGCAGAAAGGTCCTGTCAGCGTGGTGTGGCCTCCACAGGTCCAACACTCAGCCCCACAGCAGCTGTGCCCACTCCCCAGTCCCACAGTGGGTTCATCCAGCCCTCGGCCCCAYAGCAAATCCACCTGGACCCCAGGCCCACAGTGCCAAATCCCCAAGAGAGCAGCAGAGCCAGGGATGCCCCAGGACAACACCTCTGCAGCATCTGGGGGCTGTCATGCTGAGCACTTGCATTCCAGCTACACACAAGCAACAAAAACAACCATTTTCTGTTCCTCACCAGGTATCCAAAGCTTCCTTTACTATATTAAGCCAAAAATTTCTCACTAGATAAACGAACGCTCCTCTAGCCATGTGACATAGAATTCCCAAAGTCTGGTCCTATGTTGGCTTCCTCTAAGTSTCATGAGGATGACAGAGTAAGGGAAAGCYTCTTTGGCTGCTAATTAAGCCATGATAAGCCTGTTCAGACTCTRGTATGGGGTCTGGTTCTTGAAGCCTCATTGAAGGTGTCAGTGCTACCAGAAGGGGTGGGGGGTTTTGGTTTTGCTCTACAGCAGCTGCAGTTTCCTCCTGAAGTGGGAGAGCAAAGGGAGGTTGTGACAGAGCTGATGCAAAGTTGACAGCTCTTCAGCTACCAGGGAGGAGAGGAGAGGCAACAGCAGCTCCATCGCCATCCCTCCTTCACCCCTCGCTGGTGGAGCTGCCTTTGTGGCGGCTGCAGCATCATGTGCAGGCTGAGCTCACGTTCTGATGCCTGAACAGAACATGGCCACACCGTCTTCTCTGCTCTTGAGCCATTATGGGAAACCACTTTCAMATGCACCATGAGCCTTACCAGGGCTGTGACATTATCCACGTTCAACAGCCCTGGCATCTCGCATCTGCAACGCACCAGTCACGATTCGCATACCCTCCTAAAGCGACTTGTAGTGAAAATAGCCCCGAGACAACTATTCCATTGACGAGACCTGCACCAGCATTGCCGTATTCCCGCACCTCACACCGCGGCTTCAGCCACCTGCAGCACCGCGAACGCCCTCAGGGCTGAGGAATCGCGAACCGCGGCCGCCGCCCGCATCCCTCCGGCTCCGCGACCGCCGCATCGCTCCGGTGGGGAAGGGCATGCGGGGAGCTCCCCTTCCTCCCGGAGCCGCGAAGGGGCAGGGGCTCCCGGAGGCTCCCGGCGGGGCTGGGGGCTCCGCACCAGGGCGGGAACCGAGGCTGGGCCGGGAGATGGGGGCGGCTGCGGGCGGCTCTCGGTGCTCAGCTCCGCCGCCTCCGCTCCGCCGAGGGACCGGTCCGGCCCGGGGGAGCACGGCCAGCGGCACCCGGGGGAGCACGGCCACGGCACCCGGGGGAGCACGGCCACGGCACCCGGGGGAGCACGGCCACGGCACCCGGGGGAGCACGGCCACGGCACCCGGGGGAGCACGGCCATTGGCACCCGGGGGAGCACGGCCATTGGCACCGGGGGAAACACGGCCGGCGGCACCCGGGGGAGCACGGCCACAGCACCCGGCGCTGCTGAGTCACCGGAGCGGCTCCGCCGCGCCCGCACCGAACCCCCGAGGCCGCCGCGGTGGGGCTGAGCAGCCCGGGCCGGGGCAGAGGTGCCGATCCCGGGACAGCCCCGGGGATCGGAGAGCCGCGGAGCGCTGCGGGGCGATGCGGGGCGATGCGGCCGGGGGCTGGGGCCGCTGCGGGGCGGCCTCACCTGCTGCGGGCGGGCCGGGGGCTGCGGGCCGGGCTCACCTTCCGTGGCATAGCTGTGGTCTCGCAGGAAACTGCTGCTGATCTTACGGGTCTCAGCGTCCTCCTCCATTGACGGCGGGCAGGCGGGCGCGGGGCGTCAGCAGCCGCAGCCGCGGATCCATCATCCCCCCCCGCGCCCTGCTCCGCGGCGGCGGCCGCCAAATGCGGCGGGGGGGGCGCAGGGGCGGCGGTAGCCCTGGCTCCTCCCATACGGCACCGACCGGCACCGCGCGGGCGGGCGGAGCGCCGCAGCCCCGGCCCCGGCCCCGAGGAGGGTCCTGCTCGGACAGGCAGCTGCACCGGCGATGCTCCTGCCCGGGGGATGCTCCTGCCCGGGGACGCTCCTGCCTGGAGATGCTCCACCGCGGGGATGCTCCTGCTCGGGGCTGCTCCACCGCGGGGACGCTCCCTCCTGCCCGGGGACGCTCCTGCCTGGGGATGCTCCTGCCCTGGGGATGCTTCTGCTCGGGGCTGCTCCACCGCGGGGATGCTCCTGCCCGGGGACGCTCCCTCCTGCCCGGGGACGCTCCTGCCCTGGGGACGCTCCCTCCTGCCCGGGGATGCTCCTGCCCTGGGGATGCTCCTGCCCTGGGGATGCTCCCTGCTGCCCGGGGACGCTCCCTCCCGCCTGGGGATGCTATCTTTCCTGGTGACGCACCTACCTCGGGGACNNTCCTGCCGGGGGATTACTCCTTCCTGCCCGGGGCGCCCCTGCCCCTGGCGGACACCCCTATCCCTCGGGAAGCTCCTGCAGCCTTCAGGCAGACGGGCTGCTGCTCCCTGACCTGCCTGCCCCGAGCACAAGATCCCAGCGAGGTCTGACACCCGCCCCTCTTCTGGCAGAAGCACAGCGTGTGAATGCTGGGTGTCCTGGGCCAGGGGATGCAGTGAGAACCCCAGAGGTGGCCACGCCAGCAGGGCTAAGGCGATGTGAGCCCCTGAGCTCCTCCAGGCTCACCCTGTCTCGCCTTGGAAGGGGGTAGGGATGCTCAGTGACCTACGACCATGGAGTTTGATGTGGGTGGGGGGATCAGTGGTATCCAGAGAAGAGAATCAGCACAGTGGCTGTGGAGGAAGGGAGGGCTTTCCTGTTCAGGGCACATCTCTGAAATGACACCTGTATTCTGGACTCATCATCTGGTGCACACAAAACAGAAACAATTGCCTGTTGGGAGGATTGTGTGTCTTGGTAGAGTCCAGGAAGAAGCCTTGGCACTGGCTGAGAGTCCATCAGACACAGAAGAAAACTCATGGGAGGAAAGTTCCCTCAACTCCAGTGCCTGAAGTTGGAAGTAAAACCCAAGCACAATGCCAGGGCACAAGACCTCCCCAGGCAGGCAGCAATGGGCACCCTGGGCAGCAGCAACARGACAGGCACTGCTCCCCACTCACACCTGAGCTGCAGTTCCCCTCTGACCCCCACTCTCCACTGCTCAGCTGCTGATGGAAGCAGAGGCACAGACCCAGCCTGGGCTGTGACACCGGCCTGCAGTGGCCACACTGTCCCCACCAACTGGGCTCCCTCTGCCTACAAGATACCTTCACCTGCAGCTGTGTAAGAGGCAAGAGCAACATCAGACAAGAAAAACAGAGTTTGAAGAAGCAGTTGCTTRTCACCTCCTCCCATCAGACTGCAGCTGGCAAACCCCAGGCCAAAGGCAATGCCCAGCTGAGTAACAAGCCCCTGCAATGCCCATGGATATCTTCAACACAGCCAGTGACCTTTCCCTTCCCTTTCWATAGACTCCATCTTCGGTGTATTTGCATTTTAACAGGTGCCAAGTCCTTTCTCCCTTATTAAGTAACAAAAATTATTCCCCCATTGTGTATGAATTATACTTATGTATTCATAAGTCCTGCAAAGTTTTTCAGCRTTGTGTATAATTTAAACACTTTCAGAATCCACCTGTTTATTATGCAACATGCATAGGAGCTGCATCATGAAATCCATTTATTCTCAGCTTTTTAAAATCCAGGAACAAGTCCTTACAATAACYAAAAGTATTAGCCGTCCTAAGCAGGAATCCATTTGCAGATTAAATTCACCAAAGGTCAGCTTGTAGCTGTCACTATTTCTCAAACCCCCAGGTGTCTGCCATATTCCATACTTTAMCATCTCCTGAAGAGTCAGGACACTTTCCACTCCAATCATTTTTGCTTCAATTAGAAATGTCAAAGAGTTCCATGCTTAGGTTTCTGTGGGATCTAAACAGTGTGTGAAGAACAATTGAATCAAACTTCCAATCTTATGCTCAGTACAGAACTTCCTTCACAGCATTTATTTTACCCTCCCATCCTCGAGCACTGCATCTATTTTCCTAATTACTGCTCTGGGTTAGAACAATATGCTCATCTTTTAATCCTGAAATGTACATTACAACAAAGGCCATTCCCATGCAGCTGTGAAGGGTGACCCCTCTTTGGAAGAGCACCCTCATGGTCAACACCTCATGCAGGACCATCCCCTGTACCTGCAGACAGAGTGCTGGGCTGCTGCGTGGTCCCCAGGGAATGTCTACAACCATCACACACATTGATATCCTCACTGTACCCCCAGTGTGCTCTGCAGTCCTACCCTTGTGCTCCTGCAGCACAGCAGAAGAGCTGGCTGTCATTCACTGCACTATGTCCATTCGTTTTTCACATTTTCTCCTGAAAGTCACATAAGCAAGCTGGGAAAGCTGTACTCAAATCTGGGATAAAGTCCCACTCATAGGAACCTTCATTATTATGACTTGTGGAAGACCAATAATTTACTGGATTAAACCAAGATCAAGAAAATTGGGAAGCCATGTTGCATTTAGAGGGCAMGCTGCAGCCCTCTTCTTCCCAAATGATGGAGAACAAGAGTCAGGACCTCGAGACAGAAAAGGGAAGAATCAGTTCATTGAATGCAAAGTAGGTGAAGACTTCTGCCTCCCAAAGGTCAAATGATAAATTGATCTRCTTGGCCTTGACCCCTGCCACGTTGTTGCAGGTGCTGGTACAAGCTGTACATGATTAACAGCAAGCCAGTAATGAGTGATGCCACCCAGCCAGCCCTGCTCCCCAAGGCTTTCTCTCCTGCCTCCAATTAGACCAACCAGCTTCTGCTGAATTTTAGCAGCCCTTTCTTCAGATGCACTCTTTCCTTACTAAGCATTTAATGCCAGGCTTTTCTAAAGCCCAGGCATCTTCCTGCTCACAGATCTCTCCTACAAGGCAACAGCTGTTGTAACTGTGCAACAGCAGCACAAACATGGTACTTCCAGGAAGAACTTGCTATGAGCTATTTCTTAATCTACTGTACCCATGATCCAGCCATAACGTATTTATTTCCTCTATTTTATTACCAAATTACACTATTGTTAATACACTGCAGAACACATACAATACCYCAAGAATGAAATGAGGCACAGAATATTTCATGAGGATCTGAGACATCAATGTCTTTTAAAGGACACAGTGYGAACTGTTTGTCACATGCTCTTCACATCAGAGATATAATTAGCTTAAATACTTACACAGTAAAAAGGATTTGCCATTTCTGAAGATTAAGGCCACATGCTACAGCATCGGAGCATCTGAACCAGTGGAGCACAGTCTACACTAAGGAATAAGTTTTCACTTGCAAACAACCCCTGTGAGCAGTGTGCAGGTGATACCTGTCCATGCTGGTGTTCTGTCTGCTCCTCTGGGTTTGGGTTTACCTGGAGTAACAAACTCCACACAGAGGGCACTGGAAGGCCAGGCCTGGCAGGCATTCACTGGTATCTCGAGTGAAACACCAGTGCAGGGCATGAATTCAGATCTCTGGCAGCACCAGACACAGAGGAACAGCCCAGGTACAGCCACCACACCTCCGGCTCCCTGCCCTGAAGGGAGCTGCTGCCACAAAATGTGCTCTGGGGGTGAGGAGGATACCAGAATACACTGGGACACAGCTCATGGGAGAAACATGAGAGGAAGTCTAAGGCTGAATAACTAAATTTAGTAAGCACAAAATGCAAAAATAAAGGTAGTASTTTATTTAWTGGATTTTTCTGTTGATTTCTTTTCAGCTGGGGAAGAAGTGGAATTCACTGTTAAWTCCACTATTTCATATGGAAATACAGCTGTCACAATGTTCTCATTAGGTCAGGTCACCCTGTGGGACAGGAGCATGTGAACTCACACCCATTTGAGTGGACAGTTAAGCTGGCTGCTCACCTCAGCCCTGCTTGCCCTGTCCCACCGAGCACTCAGAACCCTCAGGCTCCACATGGGGACAGAGCTGGGCAGGGTGGGGTGGGACTGTCACTCCACTGCTTTAAAAATTGATCATCGRGACAAAGGCAAAACCCAATTCCACAAGAGAAAAGATGGCAATCACACACCACAGTTAAAAAAAAAATTAAAGCCCCAAAACCTTTAAAACTATTAAACAATCAACAATCTGCAAACTGTTAATCCATCAGCTGATGATCAGAAAAACCAACAAAAGAGAAACAGGGATCAGTTTGTGTGCTGAAAAAGCAAACTCTGTCATATAATGTAATTACACTGGACACTCAGATGCTTCCTCACATACTCCAGGATATTATTTACAAGGATGACTATTCAGCATTTATTCAATTAGCAATTAATATGCAAAATTTTGTATGGCCTCAAAGGTGGATTTTATTKGAAAATACATTCACCAGCAAAACACCAACACATCCAGGTCACTGTGAATTGTATTTCCTAAACTGCAATTACTTCACAGCCTTCAGTTAATTGAACATGTCCCACATCAAAAAGTAATGAAATCATGGTATAAATTAAAATGGGGCTGCCTATGTCTTGCACAGTAAGTTTTGAAGCATTCGAACCTGAGGCTGGGATTGTTTCCTTACACAAATCATTCTATTTGTCCTCAGATGTCACCCAGCAGCAGCAGAATGAGGCGCACACAGATGGAGCCTGGCCAGCCTTGCAAAAAGGAAAGCACAAAGGCTAATCGCTCAGAGTTAAGTCCCCAAAGAAAACAAAACTGTGTGTTTGGCAGAGCAGCACTCCTGACCTGAGCAGGATTACCTGAAATTCCACAACAGTCAGAAGGATGGATGGTGACACAAAATCACCAAAAAAAAAGCACGAAAATGGGATACAGCAAAATGCAGCCACTGCTGCAGTGCTGAGAGCTGGGGAACCAAG